TTTTTCAATAAATTGATCGACAAAATTTCAAAAATCTTACATAGTGGGCCAATCATATAGTGCTGCACTATGATAGTAAATCATTTGGTATCTAACACCCCATTCCGGGCCGAATAATGATAGGCCAGGTCAATTTTAATGCCGGCTGAATTAAACGGTTAATACGGTTAAACGATTAATATTAAATGGTTAAGAAAATTTTAGACGGTTCCAATCTTACGTGCATCATTGGGTTGTATATCAGAAACTCGGCAACAAAATCCCGACACTACCAAAATCTTAACAATACTACTGTTTTAATATATTGGTAGTGTCGGGATTTGAGTGCCGGGATTTTATATGTCGGGATTTTGTGTGTCGGATTCTGATATACAACCGCATCATTGATATCCAATAAAAATTATTAATTGTGATCTAATCTTTTTGAATTTTTTTTCCGGGTTCCTGCACTCGATAGGGTAAATTATGCGGTCAAATTATGCGATGGATGCAAATTATGCGATCTGTCAATTATGCATCCGAAATTTTCGGAATTTTCGCATCTTCCTCCAACCACATATCATCCACGTGCATTTTGTGCCTTATGCGAAGCATATGCAATGCAAAAAAATAACAAATTTGTGCGCATATTATGCTTTCGCATAATCCTGGACACCTACGTACGTCACTACTTTTTTTGGCCAATGAAATCGCAGCGCTAAAAATTGACGTGATCAAGAAATTTTAGAAAATTTTACTTTATCTAATTTCTACGTAGCTAAACTATTATTATAAATTGCTTTATAAATTCAAAATATTTAATCGTAAAAATTTGGATATATTTGGGCTATCCAGCATTGAAAAATTAAGAGGCCATATAACATGATTAATGTAACTTGAAAATCGAAATTCTACGGACAGTCAAGAAGAGAAAAATAAAAATTTTTAAACCTTTAAATCAAAATATCTTAGCAACCTCCCGACCAAATTTAGCAGTTTTTTTTTATTTTATTTGAATATTATGAATCCATAGAATTCAAATAAAAAAATTTCATCGAATTTGGTCAGATGGTTATGGAGAAATCTTCACTCAAAGTTAGAGAAAAATTGAAATGCCTATTAAAATAGAAGCTACGCCAATTTTTTAAAAAATTTGAATGAAGATATCTCCACAAATAATTAACAAATTCAATAAAATTTTTATTTGAATTCAATGGATTATAGAATTCAAATAAAATAAAATTATCGAGTTTAGCCAGGTGGTTATGAAGATATCTTCATTCAAAGTTAGAGAAAACTCAAAACGCCTATCAAAATAGAAGCTGCCAATTTTTAAAAAATTTGAGTGAAGGTATCTCTACAACTACCTTACCAAATTTAATGGATTTTTTTTTTATTTGAATTCGATGATTCAAAGAATTCAAACAGATACTTTTTATTAATTTGGTTTGATGGTTGAGATAATTTCACAAAAATGCAGCTTTTATTTTTAATAGGCATTTTGATTTTTTACTTTGAGCGAAGTTATCTTCACAACCACCTGACCAAACTCCATAAAAATTTTTTTATCAAATTCTATAAATCTATATATAGAATTCTATAGCATATCAGTATGGTATAGGTGAGCAGATCAGTATAGTATAGATTTAAAAATCGGCCTATACTATACTAATCTGCCCACCTATACGATCTGCAAAATACTGAGATCTTGACCTTCGGGATTTTTGATAGTCGAGATTTTTGACTTTCTGGATTTTTGAATATCAGGATTCTGAACTGTCGGGCTCTTGTCTTAATTGGGATCTTGGCTTGCCTGTATTCTATCTTGTTCGGGATTATGTACGTACGTACGTCTAGATTATGTACTGTCGGAATTTTGGATGTCAGGTAAATCCTGAATAGACGTTACGAATATAAATGCTATGTGTTACTATATGGGATCTTTGCTACCTTCGGGATTTTCCGATCGGGTTAATTCGGAAAGGTTTGGATCAGAATGCCTCATGCGTTAATCGCCTTTTGCTTTATTTATTCGATAGTTTATTAAATAGACTGTCGAATCAGTAAAGTAAAAGATGGTTTACATATGAATAAGAATCGACTAAACTCTTCTGAATTGGCCCGATCGGAAAATCCCGAAGGGTGATTTTCCTAGCAAAAATCCCATATAGTAAGCTATAGATCTATTTATTCCATATGTATTTCCTATGTAACAATTCTTTAATCGAGCAAAATAATAATCAATCATCTTAATGTTGAAACGGGGCAACAACTACACCCACACACCTACACCTACGCTGAAGCGTTATCGAGAAGGCATGAAACTATTTGGGCGAGTATCGGTTTCTTTGGAATTCCTAAGTATTTTATTAATTATTTTTTGTTGTTACTTTTATACACGTATAAGTTACTAACTAACTAATGCTATTTTAGGACGTTTACCAATTTCCCCACCACTCTCCCCACTATCGATTGTTCTTCAATTCTATCGTGTGAGTTTCTTCTTTCTATTTTTAGACCTTTACGCCTAACTAATAATTCCTTTTTCTACAATTTCCCCAACACAAAATCTCCAATTCGTTACTCATCTCGCCATTTTGAAACCAGGGCTCTTCGATCTTGGACTATTCTTGATTTGGCTATATGCGTTGGTCTTTCGATTATGCATGTTTCATTCATTTTGGTTCACACATGCATTGATCGGGTACAGGGCATGTTGATCATCTTTGTGGAGTCAGACTCAGAGACAGTGATTTTATGCGGTGATGAATTCAAATTATGTGGTAACATACTTGCCAAATTATGTGCGATTCTGTGGTATACTTAGCCAAATTTGTAGCGGGCTTTCGTTATGGTTGGCAGATCATTTTTGTTGTGACCGGGATTTTATCCAATCAGAGATGGTCTCTGAACATCACCGAAAATGTAACCTACGTCATAATTAAGTTCGCGATTACTTTGTTTTTTTGTTTTTTTTAAATAATAATCCATATTCTTTAAAACTATTTTCAAATTCATACTAGGAAAAATTAAGATACCCCGGAAAAAATGTCGATCATACCCCGGATAGAGTACCGGCTAATCCCGGACAAAAATTTTATAACTTGCGAACTTTTAAAAAATTAGTCAATACACTCTAAAGACATATTATAATTTTACAATATACTAATTCAGTTTTGTATTAACAACTTTAATTTGGATTTTACAAGGGTTTTGTTGTTTTTTCGCAATAAATATATATAAATGTCTACTAAACAATGCGTACGCAACTATTCCTAACACTACCATTACTATAACTTATTGTATTATAAATGTCATATTCACAAACTATACTTGTATCTAAATAATTATAATAAAAAAATATTAAAATATGATTTAGAATAATAGTTCAAAATAATACTTTTATTTGTAAAAAACACAAACAAACTAGTTGAAGCAGAATCTCACAATTTCACTTACTAGTTGCTTAGATCACCTAACCACCTTTCCGACCTTTCAAATATACACTTCTCATCTAGTTTCACTTCCATGTCTTACTGTATCTTTCATTAAAATGTGAAAAATAAGATGCTTAAGTTTGTTATTTCGTCATGTATTACAAAAAAAATTTTTATATAGCGTGATGATTTTTACTAATAGAGTATTTTAAAATTTACAATTGATTGTATAAATAAATGATCATCACCTATCAAATGTTAGCAATTAAAACGAACTTCTGTTCGAAGGACTAAATATAAAAAATGGGGTTGAGTCAATAGAAACCAAGCAAATTTTTTTTAGTAAGTTTTTTAAAAATTTTAAACAAGAATAACTTAACAAAAACTTGATCAAATTTAATAAAAATTTTTTAAATCAATTTTACAAGTTTGTAAAAATTATTTAAAAAAAATTTTATTAAATTTGGTCAAGTTTTTGTTAAGTTATTTTTGTTTAAAGTTATAAAAAAATTTTATTATAAAAAATTTGCTTGATTTTTATTGACTCACCCCATATTATGTTTTACATATTTATAGTTATCTCATTAACAGTCAAAAAGCTATAGTAACAATTTCCAGTATAAAAGTTTTCTTCAATATTTATATTCTTGATAATAAAAATATTGACGTATGTGAGATTAAAATAAAAAATATTCTTGCCAATAGGAAAGATAAAAGAGGTCGTAGATATAACCAACCTTTGGACAAAATATATAAAAGCATTTCTAATTAGTAGATATTATAAAGAAAAAAATCTCATATTTGCATTGTTACAACTGATATTAAGCAAAGATCAATTACTCTTGCAATTATTTTAAATTACAATTTAGAAATCACAGATGAGCACAAACTAAAAACTGCCTCAGATAATTTAAGAGCATATTACCAAAAAGTTGCTCAAGAATATAGAATACCACTTTCTAGATAGGCTTTATTAATCAATTATAAATATAACAATGGTAGCATACCTTATAGTTTTTGTTTTCCACTTTGTAAATATGCTTTCTATCTATTAATAATTATTATTCTGTAGAGAATAGTGTTTCTAAATCTGAACCTGAACCAAACTTTTAGTTGAGTTCAAGTTTGGTCCAAATTCGAACTGAACCTGAACCAAACTTAATTTTAAAAATCCAGTTCGGTCTAAGTTTGGTATTGAACTTTTAAACTAAGTCTGGGTTCAGTTTAGATTCAGTTCGAAAGTTCACGAACATGTTCGGGTTCGGTAATATAAAAAATTTTCATGGTCAGTTATTTACTACTATTATCATAATTCCTGAAACACCTGATAAAAATTAGCCAAATAGTTGTTTGGCCGATTTGGTTAAGTTAGTGATTTCGGCATGATCCATTGTATAATAAAAATAATAAAAGCTATTATGACCAATTACAACAATAATGTCTATGTTATTAAATTTTCGTTCCAATGCTTGTTCAACATGCTTGGTGTTTAGTTTGCATGAAAATTTATAGAAAAGACTACTAGTGTCAACCAATAAACCTTAGCAAGTAATTTAAAAAAGAGACTAGATATAAATTAGACATTTATAACAAATATATTATATGAACAGGTGCTGCTTTTAAAAAGTTGATATGATTATGAATTTGTTGACTGGTTTAAAAATAAATCTCAGGTTAGGATTCCAGGTAACCAAGACATTATTAATATTTTCGAGAATACATAAAGAATTATCAAAGTATGTTAATATTTATTTATATATTGAAAATTTTAGTACTAACGATTAAAATTAGTTATCCATCTGAAGCAAATAGTTTAGAAGATTTGCTGACACCTAAGTGTTTAGCAATTTGTTGAACTGATAAGACTCAAATTTTTTTTAACGATTTGTCAGCAAAGGTGCTTTGTAAATATTATTTCTAGAGATATTACAAATTTTTTAAAAATAAATTTTATGTTAAGACAAGAAATGAAAAATAATTAGAAATAAATAAATATCTTCATTTAAACGAAAATAGATCTTTTTCAAAGAATAGGAATCAAAATTTAATTTGGTTTTTTAAAACCAAATTTTCATTAGAAATAATTAAAAATGAATAAAGGCTTTGTTTAGACGAAGAGTTGTAATTTTGCACAGTTTTTTAAAAATGAATTTTTATTAAAAATAATTAAAAATGAATAAGGGCTTCATTTAAATAAAAATAGATCTTGCCAAAAAATAGGAATTGTAATTTTGCATAGTTTTTTAAAAATGAATTTTCATTGAAAATAATTAGAAATGAATAAAGGTTTCGTTTGAATGAAAATGGATCTTGTCTAAGAATTGGAATTGAAATTTTACACAATTTTTTAAAAACTAATTTTTCGTTTTCGACAAGAAATGAAAAATAATTAGAAATAAATAAATGCTTCATTCGATTGAACAAAAATGGATCTTGCTAAAGAATAGGAATTGAAATTTTATACAATTTTTTAAACACAAATTTTTGTCAAAAATAATTAGGCTTTATTTGAGCGAAAATGGATTGTGCCAAAGAGTAGAAATTAAAATTTACAACTTACAAGTACATGTCAGTATTTAGTCTTATTGTAATATATATTATTTATATTAAATTACATATGTATCTGATATATCTGTTACTGAATCTTATTATTCCTGAAATCTATAACCTAACTGAATCGGCCAAAAAATCATTCAGCTAATTTTTATCAGGTGTTTCAGAAATTATGATAATAGCTGTAAAACAAAGGTGCAATTAACAATAATCCCTTATGATTATTATATAGTAACCTAATTTTGCATTAATTTATAGCTATTTTCATAATTGCTAGAATACCTAATAAAAATTAGCTGAATTATTTTTTAGCCGATTCGATTAAATTTGCAATTTCGGCATTTAATAAAATTCATGTATACGTAATTTAAGACCAGGTAACTAATATAAATATTATTGAATATACTTTCAAAGCATCTTCACTAGAATATATTTGAAAAAAAATATAGGAGGCCTATTATTCGAAAAGTTTAGGTGTTAGGATATCTTTTATAAGTTAAATTCTCAAACACTTCCAGAATATAGATGTATTGAAAAGCTTCCATCACTTTCAGAACCACATAAATGATGCAAAACATTTTAAACCTTTAATCCTAAATGGTATTTGTGCTGTATGAATTACAATCTGAAATAAAACTCTGGCCAGATATAAATTTAGTTCTATGATAATTTGAAGGGCTACAAACCAGCTTGTATATACAAATAAAAATAATATTTGTTTATATACAGAATCTTCTTTTAACATGTATTTTGTGCAATATATTTAGCTTAAAAGTCTAATTAATATATAGTACATTTTTTATATTTCTTGTTAAGACTTATTGACACACTAAACATGTTGGATAAGCATTCGAACGAAAATTTAATAATGCTGACATTATTGTTACAACAGTCTGTAAAACAGTCATTATGATATGGTTCATGCCGAAATTGCAAACTTAGTCGAATCGGTTGAAAAATCATTCAGCCAATTTTTATCAGATGTTTCAGGAATTATGAAAATAATTGGAATCGGTTGAGACGGTTCGGTTAACCGATTAATGATTTGGTACTCGGTTCAAATCGCTAGTCTAATTTTAAGCTGATTACTAACCCGATTGATGATTTTTGTTGCAACAAAAATTGGGTAATCAGCTTAAAATCAGACACCAGATTTGTGATGCCCGGGTCTTAATCATGGGAACTCATACAGGGTCAGATGCCGGATTTGATCAATTTTGTTCATGATCGCTAAAAATTTTACTAATGTAGTCGTTCATTAATCCCAGCTAATAATTTTACTGTAGCTCCTGCTAACTATTGAACTAATATAGCTAACCCTAACCCTAACTCTGATGCTGTAAAAAATTAATCATGGGTATTATTTTTGTGGGAGACTGTATAAGCGCGAAATAACGCCCATGGATGTTATTTTGAATAATAGCCCGAATTAAGGGGAAAATTCGGAATTATGTCCTGGGTGTTTTTCGATGAAAGTTTAATAAGCTAAATATTTCTTAAATGATAGACTTTTGCAAACAAATTTATCTACAAAAATTTATCTAATATTATGCTTATTTATCTCGTATATTTGAATTATCTAATAAAGTCATAAATATGCTAAATTTTTGAATTTTAAATCGATTATTAGCTTTAACTTAACAGATATACTATACCTAATAACAACTTACAATTTGACTTTTATAGAGTTTATTTTACCAAGCTAAATAAAAGCAAGATGCTACAGTAAAATACAAATTTATAAATATCGTAAATTATCGCTAGCGTTTAACAATAATTATAAAATGCGCCTATGGTGTTAAACACCATATATGGGGTCTTTGCCTTGAAAATGACCTTACGGAACTATGTAGATTTTATGAATAAAATTAAATTTTCTAGCCATCTAAGGCCATGCAAAATTAATTAAATGGTTTTCATAACCC